GAGCATGCCAAACAAAGTCTCACATTTCGCTGAATAACTTTTGATCTAGAAGAGTTAGACAAATTCTGATTGCGGGAACGGCTCCGCCGTGTGTTTTTACATATGTCTATGTCCCGTAGATAAAAAGTACATGTTGCAAAAAAAGTACATGTTGTACATAAATCTACCTTTGATATTCGGATTCCCCGTGAAAAACTACGCCTAGGCCGCAGGGTTACAAAGACGAGTCATTGCACTTATGCCCTTTTATAGACGCTTTTAGAAATCGGCCAAAACAGTATTTATTAATTTAGACAGTGTTCCGCTGACATGTCGCATGCTGCGATATGTCCACGTGAAAGAGCACCGAAAAGCACCCCTAGAACACCCTTCATACCCGTTCTAACGGTTCTCTTTCATCTTCATAATAATCAAATTAAAGAACACCATACAAAAAACAAGATCTCGTGTGTAGTGGCTCGCCAGGCATACTAAAACCAAAGATGTCGTGTGGGCACATGCCAGACATCATATCTTGCGGTTTGCAAACACACGCAAAGTCGGTAAACAGCTCAAAAACGGGCTAAAAAGTAGACAGCACCCGGACTTCCCCGGTGGTCACCCACCCGAGTACTACCCGAGCTTGAGGCTGCTTAACTTCACAGAGCAGACGGGATATGGTGCTTTCAGCCTAAGATGGCCGTCTACATTTGACTTTGACCGACACGCCTATTAGTGTCTATCATTCGTATACATTGGTACAACACATTTACACACTCACATGTCCACATACGTGGCCATAGACTGCACACGATGGCCCCCAATACCCCTTCTGGCCCTCAGAATTGGCTGGGTGGATGGCTACACTTTATATAGTAACAAAACAAAAAGGGGGGTGGTGTGGCGCACTCCAATACAAACGTGTGGCCAGCAGCTCACTCCTACAACGCAGCATACGTATTCTCTCCGATAGGAACCCCACACAGACCGACACCTTCATACACAGCAGTGCAGATAGCCGCCGCACCCCATATTTGCGCATACGCGGCCTGGAAACAATGTTAAACCACCAAAGTGGCCATTTACGACTTGCACAACCATACCTACGCTTCCTATGCGACATGACATCGTGACTCGGTGATTTCGCGTGGCAGCGTGTTCTCCGATGGTTTAGTGGATAACCCACCGTCTATGCTGTCGTGTTATCTCTGGTGTCGGGGCTGGGCTGTCGTCTGTGTTATCGTTAGCTACCGTAGTGTCGCGCTCCGTGGATCGGTGAGCTCATGTTCTACCTAGGCATCGTGCTCCAAAAATTGATGATTTCTGATTTTCCGTATCTGGCCTCCTGCGGGCTCAGATTTGGTCGGTTGACTGTGCTCCATGTTTACTCGTGGTGTTGTTGGAGTATTGTTTCTGTGCACTCTCACCGATACGTGTTCTACCGTGGCTTCGAGCGTCCGTGCTCTTCCGTAGCCCGTGCTTTTCAGCATGCTGGGGTGTCTATGTATTAAGTTCCCTTCCGTGGCCCGTACGTTCCTGTCATGTTCTATCCATCTGTTCTTTTCATGGCTGCGTGCTCTTTCATCTTTCACGCTACTTATAAAACTTCGTGGTTTGCATCGGCTAAGTCTTCTATCATCGTCCATGGCCTTCCGTGCTTCGTGTTGCTCTTCTATCCCATCTGGAACACCTCCGTCTGCACCGACTCGCCGGGGGCGGCACCGGCCTCCACGCTCGAACGGATGGCGCGACCACCCGACACGGTCGTCGTGCTGCCGGACGTCGTCGAGAGGCTGCTCTTCTCGACCTCGGTCTCCTCACGCGTCTCTGTCTCCACCGTCGTGCTCTTCTCGCCGGACTTCGTCTCCGTCTCCGTCGTGGTCTCCACCTCGATCGTCTCCACCAGCTCGCCGCTGGCAGACGTCGACTTGCGCGTTGTCGTCTTCACCGTCTTCGTCACGATGCTGCCGTCAGCCTCCTGCGACTGGAACACCTCCGTCTGCACCGACTCGCCGGGGGCGGCACCGGCCTCCACGCTCGAACGGATGGCGCGACCGCCCGACACGGTCGTCGTGCTGCCGGACGTCGTCGAGAGGCTGCTCTCCTCGACCTCGGTCTCCTCACGCGTCTCTGTCTCCACCGTCGTGCTCTTCTCGCCGGACTTCGTCTCCGTCTCCGTCGTGGTCTCCACCTCGATCGTCTTCACCAGCTCGCCGCTGGCAGACGTCGACGTACGCGTTGTCGTCTTCACCGTCTTCGTCACGATGCTGCCGTCAGCCTCCTGCGACTGGAACACCTCCGTCTGCACCGACTCGCCGGGGGCGGCACCGGCCTCCACGCTCGAACGGATGGCGCGACCACCCGACACGGTCGTCGTGCTGCCGGACGTCGTCGAAAGGCTGCTCTCCTCGACCTCGAACTCCTCACGCGTCTCTGTCTCCACCGACGTGCTCTTCTCGCCGGACTTCGTCTCCGTCTCCGGCGGGGGCTCCACCTCGATCGTCTTCACCAGCTCGCCGCTGATAGATGACGACGTACACGGTGTCGTCATCATGGACTTCGACACGATGCTGTCGTCAGCCTCCTGACACTGGAACACCTTCCGTCTGCACCGATTCGCCAGGGGCAGCTACAAGATTCCAGACTCAAAGGTATGGTGCGACCACCTGAAACGATGGTTTGGACTCCCAGACATCATCGAGAGAAAGGCTACTCTGCGAACCTACGGGTCCACAACACGTCCTCTGTCTCCACCAGTGGGGGG